TTATTAAATTATCAAACACACGACGTCGTGTTAACAGTAACGTTTCCCGAATATACCGAAATAGGAACCTATATACTATACTCTCGTATTGGTATAATAGGTACCTATCAATTTAGTGGTTATATTGTGTCACATCGTAACCAACTTTAGTGCGTTATTCCACGTAACATTATATTGTCCATATAATACTTATGAGCGGGATTATGAGTGTATTTTTTATTCACAACATATTATATTAAAAGAATAATAATACCTACTATAATATTATCATCTACACGCTGCGCATTAAACATCATATTATTACGACCCGCCGGTGTCGGTATAACGTCAATAAATTTTATGGAAGTCTCGTTACAATCGTCGTTATTCAACAATAGTGCTTTTGAAAATTGCTCGCATGGCAACAACGTTATAACAATATTATTGTTATAGCTGTTTAAGCGTGAGTATTATTAGTTATTATACACATTAAACAGCGGTTTTTTTTTCATTTTTATGGCCACGGTTTGTCGTGGATAGTCGCATGTAGGAGTAGATACTATTCCAAATGGACTTTGGAGTATATTATATTTTTTTATTATTTCAGTGCAGCGGAATCGAGTCGCATGAATTCGTGACGACCGACGCACGAGTATGTTATTAAAATATAATGTAGTAGGTTTGATAATACACGTGTATAACAATTGGTGATTTTAATCGTGTTTTGTATTTGAATGCCCCTCTCTGGCAATCATAATTATTACTATACGATTACGATTTTCTTCCTCATTTCCAAATTTCATGTGTAGCTTTAGACAATGATCTTCTTCTTGCTACGATGGTTTATTTAGTACCAACTACTTTTAAGAGACCAACTGTTTTATTAAATGAATGATTAAATTAATTATTATACGATTATACATTTTCATATCTACGACCTACGTGTAAAAAAAAGAAATTTTTTGGTTAATACAATAATAAATACTTAATATGTTGATTTTATTCTCTTAACAGATTTTGGTTAGTAAAATCTCTTTGAAATTTGAATCATATTTAGAGTTTATTGATTAGCCATTAGGTTAATTTATTTGCACACAATTTAAGACTTAATAAGCAATCGCACTCGATCTGTCTGTCTCACGCGTATAATATAATATAGCAGGAAAGGTATTTGTACTTTCACGATTAAGACTCTCTGGCTAGGTTTTTTCCAACAAAAGGATTTATTATTCGCCTTATAAAATGCATAGGTAAAATAGTTTTTAAGATTTAATTTTTAAGTAATATAATTTATTTCTTGTCAGGTGGCACTGCTGGGAGCCTTCCTGCTTTACAATTAATGTTCCTATGTCAAATGTTATTTTATGTCACCACACTTACTCATTATTCCTGTAGTATAGATTGTAATTAATATATTTTTAAATAATAAAAAAAAGTTGTATGTTCAAAAAAAAAGTACCTAATTTAATTAAATTTAGTTGAAATACACTATCCTCATAAGTTGATTTCATAAAAATTAAAAAAATATCGAAAATACATGGTCACAATATTTTTTGTAAGCGTTTGAAGTTAAAATCTTAATTTATGAGAATGATTTATCATCGAATTTAAATTTAACACATCCATAATCTATTACAGTGAATGTCTCAATGACGAGGTACACCCAAAACCTAATATATACAGACATCCAGGTTTTATTCTAATCTTACAAATTACAATACACTAGTTACATTGATCACTAAAATCACATCCTATATATAATAATCCTAAATAACCTATAACCTAAATCATCAAATCGTAATGGTTACGTACATGCCTCACCACACCTCAAATCGCATCAAATAATATGAATTTACCTGCAGTGTATTTCTCAACGTCATAAACATATAGTAAAGTAAAAACTGTTATTTTTTCAGTACCTTTTTAACCAATACTTCTAAACACGTAAGAACAAAAAACATGATTCACATTCAACCTAGCCTATTTATTAGTTTTATTAAAACAATTAAAAATAAAATTTTAATTTGATATTTTCCTTAAATATTTAGAAAAAAATTATTTGATCACAAAAATACTTTTATATTTAACAGTGACGTTTTTTTTTCAACCGTGTACGTGTACACTACGGTTTATAACTATTATAGTATTATTATTGTTCTTTTTTCATAATTTACCTATTATGTAATCATATAATGACATTCGAACAAATTCAAATAATACATTATTATAATATGTCTAAACACATCCCACGCATTTGAGTTCGACTTTCGACTCTCGATACTTGAAATTAATAATTATCAATTATTGAACTCTCTTTATTGCAATCATTAATTTAAACAACAATTGACATTTTAATTTAACTTCCTTATATCCATATACTTTGACAACATAAAATGAACTCGATAGACATTGGTAGACACATTCATAAATGCATTATCTATAGCGAACCTGCAGAATAATATATTATTAAATATTATCAATAACATTAAATGATAAATGTGTACGTCAATTTACTATTTTAAGTGCTATCATTAAACCTTTATTATTTTGATGAGAAATAAATGTGTCGGTGTGGTTTTTGTTTTTGAGAGTAGGCTTTGAAATGATAAATTAATGCCTAATAGTATTGCGATATACGAATTATAATAATAAAGTACAGTAACTATTAAAGTATATTCTAATGGGAGGTAATTTTTTGACTTTTTGACTTTTTTTTCAAACAAACATGGTTACCTACACACCGTTTGCACACATAGCAAAATTAACAATTAATATGTATTTAATTTGTTCACTCACTGCAGCTGTCAGTATTCAAAGTTTTACTTTCAAATTAAAATGAAAACGCCCGCTTAATAACACTCGTACAAAGAGGGTAAAACTTTTACAGGTTGAATTTTTTAATGTGTTCCATACGCCCATTATTTTAGTCAGATTTTGTATTTGTATTTTTAGATTTTCAAGTCAATATTAATTTTTAAGAGTAGTAATAATGCTTTAAAATCCACACAATTTTTTTAATTATAAAACTATCAAAAAAAAAGGTTGCCATTAAATTTTGGCTATTCGAGTATAATGTATATTATATACATTTATACTTAGGTACACATAAGTCGTTTTATTAGGAAGCCTGAAAGCGAAGGGTAATTTTATATCTCGGTAACTTGGACCTTAGTAAGGTAGGAATATTTGAATAAAATATCGACACTAATAAATGAATACTAACTGATTATTGATGATTATTATTTGTTAATCTAGTAATAATTTATATTCTATATTTTTACAACCGATAATTTTATCACCTACCTAGGTACGTGAACATTGTATGATATGTATTATGTATATAGCGACATCTAGAGGGCTGGTGCGAACATCCGTGATAGTTAAAGCCTTAAAGGTTGAACTTAGAACCAACGGTCGTCCGATCTACCATTTGTCAGTTCCAGTCGAATGTGACTTATATATACGACCAATTAGTCATATATTCGAGGGCTAGAGAGTAGCATTCTGCGGCCTAAACCACCGTATCGTGGACCAGACGTGTTTTATCACGTCCCTGAGTAATTGAGTACGAGTCACCTCCTAACGTTTCCAACTGGAATTAGGGGAAGCATGAGTATGTCCCATACCACGAATGGAATCTCAATGAAATGACCCCCGCATATTTTTTTAGACAATAAGATAAAAAAAAAAAAATGTAAGACTCAAAAACTATAAAATTATATTAATTTTTTTGTAATATTGACTTGTAAAAATCCTGTTTTTTCAATATTTTTTCATAACAAAAACAATGATTGCTGTAAGAACAACTTTTACTTTTACCTATCTATATGACTTTGTATTACATTTTCAAGCATTTTTAATCGCAAATACAAATTATTATTGATACATAGTAGGTACCTAAATAAAATAAAAAGGGGAAAAGTAAGTAAAATTTACCTCGTCACTGCTGGATAATTGCAGGTGTCGAGTGTACTTCCTCATTGAATAAGCCACTATAATGTACCTATGTGTTAAATTTGACTTCAACTGTAAATCATTGCGATGATACAAATGATTCATATCAAAGGTGGTCTGTAAGCATTTACCTAGTACACTTACCTATTACTAAGTATATTTTATATTGCTATTAAAGTAATTTATTTTACTATTATTAATACAGTAAAAAATAACTAAAATCGTTATTATTTGTTTAAATATTTAATTTTATCTAAATTTGAGCTTAAAATGTTTATCATCCACCAGCGACGCCATTAAGATTTAAGGGTACAGAGAAGTGTACTTTAACATCCCTATTTGTTGTTGCCTCTTATTAGTTATTATTTATTGCCCTGCCATGAAATTTATGATCACTCCGATAGCAGATGCATAAAAGTTAAAAAAAATTATGAAAACCATAATACTATTATATACGTATAGTATAATCTATACCTATGCTGTATAGGTAAAGTATATTATTGATATAATGATATGTATATAATATGACAAAAGTTATTTAAAATTTATATTCCGTTGCAGAATATTATTCAGAGTTTTCGATCTATAAAAATACAATTTCGAAGAAGTAGTTTATTACTTATAAGTTATAACTTAAAAATATTTAAATTAGACTTAAAATTAGGTTAAAAAAATATTTGCAAAACGCTAAAAGTTTTTGAAATAACGAGTATCTTACGTTTAATGGATCACTCAATAGGTATATTATTTCGAGAGTCGCATTCAACGCTATAAAAATGTCTGATTGTTATTAACTTTGGGTAGGCAGAGGGCGCTCACCCCTCCCCCTTGGATTATTTCGCATGTCCTTTTTTTAATTTAAATTCACTAAATGCTTGAATTGCTCCAATTATGGTGGGGGGAGGCCCAAAAATTGAAATAGCCCCCCCCCTTGATTTTTTATCAAAACCACCCCTGTGGGTAGGTATTCAGGTATACTCGTATTGAACCCGTCAAAGATATTGTATTAATAATACAATCAATATATAATATTATACAATATAATACAATTTCTTAGTGCGATTGAAATGCTTTCCAAATTTGATCCTGTTATACAGAAACACGTAAAACGAATTAAAGATAAAGAAACTCATGTCCATTACCTAGGACACAGAATTCAAGATGAGTTGATAGAAATAATGGCAAATGAAGTTCGAAAATCAATTATAAATTTAATTAAAAAACATAGGTACTATTCCGTGATCATTGATTGCACTCCAGATATTAGCCACCAAGAGCAAGTATCCTTAGTATTTAGAATTGTCAACATGCATTGGGACAAATTAACAGAACCAAGCATTCAAGAATTGTTTATGGACTTCGTGAATATTCATTCAACGTCAGGATTAAGTCTTTCAAATTTGTTGATTTCAAAGCTTGCAGAATATGAGATACCTCTTAGTGACTGCCGAGGTCAGGGGTATGATAACGGAAGCAATATGGTTGGAGAATATCAAGGAGTACAGTCACGTATTCGAGCTCAAAATCAAAGAGCATTTTTTGCCCCATGTGCTGCTCATAAGCTAAACTTACTCCTTTGTGATGTTTCTCAAAGTTGTATTAGAGCAATATCATTTTTTGGAATGATTGAACGTGTGTACACTCTATTTTCAGCGTCTACAAAAAGATGGGATATTTTAAAAAAACACTGCTCTATAGTGTTAAAAAAGTGGACAGCTACACGATGGGAAAGTAGATATAAATGTGTTAAAGCGATCAGAGATCAACTACCTGAGGTACTAAATGCTTTAGAAGAAATAGCTGAATGCTCTAATGATCCAAAGTCAGTGAGTGAAGCAAAATCAATTATAGATGAATTGATGAGTTTTGAATTTGTTTTGAGTCTGGTAATCTGGCATGATATTTTGGGTCAAGTTAAAATTGTAAACAGAATCTTACAAGATCCTAAAATGGATTTAGATGCATCGGCTAGCAGCTTAGGGAGTCTTATCACTTTTCTAGAAAAATATCGTACAAATGGATTTGAAAACGCCAAATTGGTTGGAATAGAAATCGTTGAATCTATTGGTGGAACTGCTAACTTCAAGGAAAAAAGACCAAGAAAGAAAAAAAAAATGTTTAACTACGAAAGTAACGATGAATATACAATTAGTTCAGAAGAAGAATTTCGTCGTGATTACTTTTTGATTCTAATTGACCGTGCTACTGAAGCATTGAGAGTACGATTTGAGTACCAGAGCACATTTAACTCCAATTTTGGATTTTTGTACAGAATTGGAAAACTTAAACATCAAAATGATGATTTTATTAAAAATTGTTGTAACGATTTGCAAAACGTATTGAGTGAAGGCAATTCTAGAGATATAAATGGTGCAGATTTATACATGGAACTTCTTATTTTTCGAAGTATAGTAGACGAAAACGCAACACCTCTGCAGGCATTATCTTTTTTAAAAAACGTTTCTAGTTCATTTCCAAATATAGAAGTGGCAATTAGAATAATGCTCACCATACCAGTTACATCAGCTGGTGCTGAACGTTCATTCTCTAAATTGAAGCTGATAAAAAATTATTTAAGAAGCAATCTATCACAGCATAAGTTATCGGACCTGGCCCTTATCAGCATCGAACATAGTATTGCCGATTCTTTGAGCTACAATGAGACAATTGATCAGTTTGCATCAAAAAAAATACGGAAAAAAATATTTAAATAATATTATATTTTGTTAAATTTTTTTTATTCTTAGTAAACGTAATTATACTCATTTCATTATTATTATAATTTATGTTCAATATAATAAAAATATTTATTAATAAAATATTGTTTGTACATTGTTTATACGAACAATCTTAGGTTTCTAACATAATTAAAAGAGCTTTAAGATTACAAAATTATATAAGATTAAAGTTAGTCCCTAAAAAATAAAATAAATGTGTATATTGTATAATAATTAATAAATTAACATATACAGCCATTGGCCATATGGGGCCCCGCGAAATTCTGCACCGGGCCCCGAAAACCATCGGGCCGGCACTGTGTATTATTATTGATAATATATTATGCCTTATAGTGAGATTGGTACATCCAACATACTATTATATTTATTAGCTACTATTATTATAGAATATACATAATACAATAATATTAATAACAATATAAACTCACTGAGACACACAATTTTTTATGCAATTTGGACATTTTAACTTTGAGCAATATTATGACAAATGAAACCAAATTCATGGAGAGCTTTATTACACTCTTCATACTTTGCATGATATCCATAGGTTTTTAGTTTTTTCCAATGTACCTACCTATTATGTTGATAATAATTTTTGTTCATTGGTCAAAAAGTTTCAAAATTCAATACAAGATTGATAAAATGAGATTTTTACACGGGTTACAAAAAACCGAAAGTATTATACCTGCATATTATAGTCACGATTAAACAAAGCAGTTGACAGTTGATTGAAAAACCCTTATGTTTAACAACCGGTTTAATTTATAATAATATACTAGCTGAACTGTGCACTTCGCTGCCCGTAAAAAATCGCAACTCTTAAAAAAATTATGATTGTTCAACTCCTTTGGGTGTAACTTGCTGCGGTAAGTCCAACTCAGCCACCCTGTAGGCAATGTTCAATAATTTGATTTGATGCAATAGCTTGTACCTGATCTTCCCGAATATCCAATTGCAACCAATAATAAATAAATACTAATTTCTACTGTAGACTGTAACCAATGGCAACTATTAATAAACAAAAATAAAATTTAAAATTTCCATCTTGAACCTCAATGTCCCTGTTTGAGCACCTATTTAAAATGCGAATTTCGGCAAATCCTTTCTTATTGGTTATTGCACGGTGAAAATTGAGAAGAACCACTATTCCAAATTTCAAGTCCGTACGTTGCGGAGTTTTTGAGATACTGCAGCGATCAGTGGGTGAGTGGTATTTTGATTTTATATGTATAGATTAGGTAAGGTTTTCGGTAATTTTTTTTATTATTATTATTATTATTAATAAAAAATAACAATGGAGATTTTCGCTAAATATATTACGTTATATCTTCTTTTTGCAAGTTTTTTTAAGTGGATACCATTAAATGTAAATTCAATTGGTAGGTATTTTTTTTATTTTATTTATATGACATAATATACCCCGTTCATATTATTGTATATTTATGTAAAATATTTTAACTTTATCAAAGTTAAATATTAATTTAAGTATTCACTTCTGTCGTGTGTATATACTGACATTCACCTGTGTTTTTTTTTTTGGTCTGACATCACATTTGAGGCAGTTAAAATGATTTTAGACAAAATTGTTTTTTGGTATAACTCAAAAACGAATAAACCGATACTTTAAATGTTCACAAAATTTTTCTATACGACATGATAACATTTAAAAACTATTTTGAAACTTTTGAACAATTTATAGGAAAGAGAAATTATCGATTTTTTTTTTGATTTTTAACTATTGTCGGTAAATAAATTGTCACTTGGTCAAAAAACTTAAAAATGTAATAAGTTAAGTTTTCTCGTATTTATTATAATAGAAGTTTAAAAATATTTAAAACACATAATATGCAAGATTTTTTTTCATAGGCATTAAAGTTCAAATTTTGACAAAATTCATCAATATCAAGAACATTTTAAAATTATTTTGTATCAAAAAAATTATAAAATGTTCAATTTTTAAAGTTAAGATTTAAAACAAGGTTTCTCATACTGTAGCCAAGCAATATTTAAAAACCGTATAGCTACACAGATTTTTTCTATAGCCGTTTTAATCTCAAATTTAGACAAAATTTGTTATTTAAACGAAAAATAACTCTTTTGGTTTTTTTTGTTGTAATTTAATAAATATTATTCGTGGGTACTTGAAACTTTAAAACTATATTGTTTTTTTACTTTACACCCACAATAACATTTGCAATGTTTTCGACAAAGCTTAATTCAACCTACAATAATATTATTAGTACCTATTACTAAGGGCCAGTCTATACCATAAAATATACTTAGCAATATTATAGGCTGACAGACCGCCTTCACACAGAATCGATTTTTGTATACAATGTCATTGAATTCAAATTTAACACATTCATAACAGTGACCCACAAACAATGACCTACTGTTTTAGTACAGACGAGAGGTACCCGCTGGCACCTTCTATTTTTTATCTGAATTTTATATTCTTTAAACATTTAATATTCAAATTAAATAAATTGAATACAACGAAGACACGAAGTTCATACGTTAATAATGTTGTTTACTTATTTTTACGATGTGTAAAAATTTAACAATCCTATAAGATTGTTTTTATTATTTTGTAACTAGACAGTTTTCGTAAATTGACTATAGGTGGGCGTATTGCCAAATTATTTTTTTTTTTGTATCCTGTCTTATACGGAGTTTGTCGTTTGTTTAACTGTTGAATTTCTATCATTAATTTTGTTAATATAAAACGTTATTTTATTTTATTCTTTATCAGTATATAGCCTAATAAGACTTGGAAATCTCATTTAAATGTACATAATATATCTCAAACATTGTATTTAAGTATAACTGTCTATAAACTGGTATTTAACTCTGGCACTTTGTCCTTAATTTTCTGTTACAATTATAAATGTAATTATATAGTTGTAAGGAATATTTATATTATAAATGAGTAAACTAATGTTATGCTAATAACTGACACACTTTATCTAATTTATTCAATGGAATTAAATGCCTAGAAAATAATAAAGCTTGCATTAATATCACAAATGCAACTCATATGCTATGGAATTGTCGACTCTTATCTTTACTAGGTGTGAACTATCGTATAAAGGCGTAACCTATTCTTGTTCTTAAAACTCACTTAATCATACAGGTACTGGAATATTATCGAATTTCTATGGCTCACATAGGCGTTTGAGTATTGTTTTCGCTAATCACTAAAATTGAAGTTCTAAAAATAACACATAATTAACATAAATTGACGTCTGTTGTAGGGAAATGAATAATTATTTTAGTGCACTAAAACCATGGTTTTCGATAACGACCGTAAATAATTTTAGTTAACATATTTATATATAATTAATATATAAATGGTTAGTTTTAAAAATAGGATAAATTTAAATTTAAATTAATTTTTTTTTTAGATTAGCTTCAGATCAGTGTGCATTATTATAATATATTTATATATCTACCACAGTTTAAACGTTAACACAATTGAGAACATTTTCAAGATAATATTATAATACAATAGTAATGGTAATGTGGTATCTTTGGTGAGTATATAGTTCTATAATATTATGCATTTATGATTGATATATGAGATCGGATATCTTAAGAGAATCTATAATTCTTGATTCCTGTCCAGGACCAAACGTTTCTTCGGATGAGACGGTGTTGATGTTTAATTTT